AAAAAAAAAATGATCTTGACTTCCATCGAATGACAATCAAACCAACCTTCCCACTGTCCCCAACTTCGCTCGGCAACACGGAAACGCGGCAAGATTACATTTTCATCGAACACTTCATCGTCTTTCATGAGATGTACGCGAAGCTCATACTCTGCCCCGCAGTCTTCTCTACAGGCGCATCGTTCACGGACTGTGATTTCCGGACGAATAAGGTCCATGACCCAGTCCTGCAAAGACAAAAATAAGAGCATAAGCTCGTCTAGATCCATGTGGATCTCAAATTGTCTCGACACTTACTTTACAGATAGATTTTGCTGGAAGCCAATAAACATGTATTAGGTTGGTAAACAAGAATGTCGTTTTTTACAGCAGAGCAACAGGACGAATCCGCAGAATGTGAGGAACATCAATCGAAAGAGCAAAGCAAGCTCTATCAGATGACCTCTAAACACTGGCTCAAGTCGCGATTTTCGCAAAGTTCAGAGCAGCAAGTCATAGTGCCAAAAATCGGATCTCCGCCCCGAAAAATCCCACAGCCTCTCACTTGGTCCAGCATATGGCAGACGCATGCACTTACACCATATGTACACTTGCTACTTTTTCGCGATTAGAATTGCGAAAGGACTGATAAACGAAGGACTGATAAACGAAGGATTGATAAACGGAAGGTGGCAAACTCCGCCTCTAGTGGTCTGGGCTCCTCCCATATATGCAGTGTATTATAAACCTTCAAAACCTTAGCCGTAAAGTTTTGGCCTTCGATAATCTTCAGTTCATGAGAAGTACTAATTTTGTGGAAAAGACCGAAACGAGCGACATTCGTTTCCTTCCAATCTAATACTGCCTACAGTAAACTTCGACATTTCTACGTAATCCCGACGTTAGAATGTCATGTCGAACAAATGGTTGAAAAAGAGGTATGTTAGGTTGGATGAACAAATTTCTGATTTGTTTCAGCTCTTCACATCTACCACTAGCGGGCAATATACGATTGAGAGTCCCAGTGAGATGTAGACATAGAGAGAAGCTTTAGCTGGAAAATGTTCGGCAGATATGAGCATCATGTAGCGCCAATTTGCAAGTGCATATAAAACCTAAGTAGCTACGTATCTTGTATGAAGAGTACGAAGAAAGAGTGAATTTTTAACCAGCACAACGTTTGCATAGGACAAATATCGCCATTGGAAAACTTTAGTGAGGAAGGAATGATGAAAAGTAGTTCAAACACTAACCTGCACTCCTGCCTTGCCGAGGTCGATCTCGAAATAGCGACTACACCATTGATAGCTGGTTGCAAAACAGATGGGAACTTCAGTTTGCTCACAGTACTCAGGAGGATGTTCTATGCGAATTCTAAATTGGCAGATGTCCAAGAGAGTAACAAAGAACGAAAGACCGTCCAAACAAAAACTCACCCGTCCCCTGCTGATCTAAACACCATTCCCTTCTTTTTCAAACTATTTAAAGTGCAGGACGCAGTGAGAGCAATAGCAAGGTTGCGTTCGAATGGTCGACGAAAACAAATTCTTTTGTAGTCGAACTCATGATGTTCTGGAGGCCCCTCAGCATCGCCTGTGTGATCCGCCTCCTGACGAAAGTATTTCCTCCAACTGAAGGAAGGCAATGTAACGCCATCATACTCGCATTTTTCTATCCAGAACTGAGGAGTCGTCAAAATTCGACGGAACAGTCGACAAGCCTAGAATAATCTTTGATCAGAAGGTCGGCGTGCCGCTTCCTAGCATAAACGAGCAACAGGCCGTTACATTTAACAAAAGAAAGTAAGCTGAACTCTTTCAAATAGGGTTCTAGCTTCGACACTAAAAACCAAAAAACAGAAGTCTTAATATTGTAAAAATCACAAATCAGTAAAAAAGGGATACACGAAATTGTGTTGGTATCGCTTTGCCAGCACGAGGTTTGAGGAAAGCTTTACCCTCATCAGTAACCTAAAGTTTTCGCTGCCCATCGTTTTCGGAGGTTTAGAGCGGCGCGGATTAGTGATCTTATGTCTGCCCCAACAAATACTTCATCAACGCTCGGCGAGCTTTCCGATGCCTCTGGATATAAGAAAAACCGCAGGTCTAGAAAAGCGAACACCCTTTGCTCCACCGGTTTGGTTTTATGGTGCGATCGTGTTCTTGATGACAAAAGTGCCAATAACCCACATTTGGGATCAAAGCCATATCAAACCCGCGAAAGCAAAGGTGTGTTCATCTTCCTAGTCCTGCGATTTTTACTTACATCCAAAAAATCGGGAAAAAAACCGGCCGAGGGCTGATGAATTACTTGGTGGGACAGAAATATGATCATCAAATCCGCACCGCTTTACGCGTTGAGGCTGGGATAATACTGATCCATTAGTCCGGGAACTCCACTACAGCTGTACTGTGCTGGAAGTGTTCCGTAACTAACGGATTAGTATGAAGCTGGCCTGAAGACGCCGAGAAATCAAAAGATTAGGCCACTAAGGCCCGTATGCACGTACATCCCCGCTGGGGAGG